CATGGAAACTACTGAAATGTCCATCGACATATGACTGGATAAAGAAGCTGTGGTATGTTTATACAATGGAATGCCACTCAGCCATAAAAAATAACATAATGTCATTTGCAGCAATATGGATGGCCCTGGAGATTGTCATTCTAAGTGAAGCCAGAAAGAGAAAGAAAAATACATGATATCACTTATATGTGGAATAAAAAATAAAAAAGACAAACTTATTTACAAAACAGAAACAGACTCACAGACACAGAAAAGAAACTTACTTGTTTGTTTCCAACGGGGAAAAGGGCTGGGAAAGGATATATTTGGGAGTTTGAGATTTGCAAATGTTAGCCACTATATATAAAAATAGATTTTAAAAAATCAAATTTCTTCTGTATAGCACTGGGAACTAACTATATTCAAAATCTTGGAATATCCTTCAATGAAAACGAACATGAAAATGAATATACATATGCATATACATGACTGGGACATCTTCCTGTACACCAGAAATTGACACATTGTAACTGAATGTGTTTCAATAAAAATAATAATCTATAAGATATTAGGGTTACTCTAATAATATGAATCAGGGTTTTCATAGTGGTATAAATGAGGCAACCATACGATACGTCTGAGTAAAAGATTACCACCTACCCAACTAGCATTAGACAAAACTTACTATCTTTAATAGAAATTAACACTTTATAGTATCATTCATCACTGATATGTGTCAATGTTTATAGACAATTTTACAGTAAGATCAGCAAACAATTTTCATTCACTGTTCCTAAGTTTTTCTCTGTGTGAATGAAACATTTTGACTTCAAATTATAAGCAAAGTGGCTTATACTACATTTCCCTTGCATAGAATAGTATATGACTTTTTTTACATTAGACTATGTTTACCATTGCTTGAAATTTAATTTTTTATTATAAGCCACAAATCCTAAAATAAACTTGCAAAATTATACTAATATCCTCCAAATGTAGAAAATAAAGACTTTTGTGGAACTTATTTTCACAGAACAAAGTTTTAAGAGAGGAAGGATATTTATTGTCTACAATGATAAATTGGAACAAGAAATATAGTTAATTTACTATAGAGAAGCAACCAAGCATAGCTTAAAATGTTCTTCAAATCTGTGTCAACATGTGGCACTAAACTATTACCTTCTGAAGAGTAATCTACTGATAATGCAGCATAAAAAAATTCAAGTTGCTTAAAAATCAGAACACAGTTATTATTAACTTTTCAAAATACCACATTGATTTAGGAATAAAATTTACAACAAAGTACCTTTTGACACGAGGATCCATGGAGTAATGCTGAATTCGTTGTACTAAAAGGGAAAAAAAATACAGGAAATGCATCAGATTCTGACGGTGATTGATAAAAACAATTGACAATAATAGAAAAGCTGTGAAGAGAAAATGGACACATATTAGGGGGAAGTTACAGAGGAATACAGGAGTTTCCTTTGGATGAAAGGTGGCATTAATAGACAGATAAATAATATATCTCTGGAAAGCCACTGATATTAATTATTTGTCTGATTAGATATGAGTACTAAAATGGCAAAGAAAAAGTGTATAAATTTTGCAAAGAATTTACAAATAATTTCACTTGCAAACAATTTTGCTTCTAAAATAGGTTAATTTCTTTGTTTCTTTCAGTCAATGCTTTTTGCTAAATGTCTCTTTCATGGCTTGAAAAAAACTTAGCTTACTGTAAAAATGAAACTTAATGCTACAGCTGATATCAGAAAACATCTATTCATTCCAGTAAAAATTAATTTGAACTTTAAAATGTAAATTAAAATTTTAAATAACTCCTTTAATATAAATGATTCTAATTATTATGAGGTTATGCTCAATATATTTAATTGACCACAAGTTCAATATTATGGCATATAATCTCTCCTTTGTAGTATCTTCCATTCCTTTTTTGTCTATTTATCATTGGGCGAAATACTATTCTAATAAAATTATCATTTTATTATAGTTTTTGGGTTTCTGGAAAGTACTTTAAGAAGCTAGCCGGGAAAAATCTCTATTCTTGTTGTGTAGAAGTCAAATATTTCAAAATCTGACCCCCCACCATAGTAATAGAAGCACAAGAACTGGCAGATTGCTTTTTTTCCCTTTAAATTAAAACAAAATAAGGTTAATTGCTAAAGTAATGAAACAAGGAGATGCCATGAAGAGCAGCAATAATAGAAAACCTCCTAGAGATTGTCAATTTAACAAATGATTTGTAAATTACAAAATCTCTCATTATCAAATCTATTTGCTCATGGTGGCATGCTGTTTGAAAGCAGTTTGCCTTTGAATGTTTGCCCTGTTGGTGTCATTCCCTGCAATTAAAAAAAAAAGCCGTCCATGATTACGGACCCTAAATATCATTTTCCTCCAAGAGTTCTTTTTGAAAAACTATATATATTGAAAGAATTGTATGTGAATATTCAAAAGGAAACAATGATGCTGAAGGGTTAAGACAGAGACTTCGAGAATAAGAATGTTAATTAAGGACTTTTCAATTTGCATATTCTGTAAATAACTCTACGCAAAAGATCAACACAAAGTGTTATTTCTTGCAGAACCCTGATTGCCTGTTCTGGCATCACCACCCTCATTTGTACACAGATGGCCTGGGAAAATGGCATAACCAAATGCTCATATGACTCTAGGCACTGCTGGTCTCTATCAGTCCAACCAGTGGTATAATTAAGATAATGCCCCTCCTGCGTGAATTCAGCTGCTGCCTGGCAAAACTTATCTAAAATTTCTATTTTTACAAATTAAGCAATGTAGAAAGAAAAAATACTTATTTAAAAGACAACTGAAGGAGGGAGGGATATACTATGACTGAAGAGTCCTAGTATTCACTTCTGGGCCCAAGTCTTCCTAAGTATCTACATTTTTATCTATATTCTGTATCTGTCTATCTATATGCACACACACAAACACCTATTGTACCTTTCTGAGCATCAGTTTCTACAAAGTAAAAAGCATATTGTAATTATCTACCAGCCCACATCCTGTGTGAGAAGGTCATATTAGCTAAAATGTGTAACAATACCATTCAGAAGTATGTTATCTTTGACTGGAGGCACTTTCTTCAAGTTCTAAAATCATTGTGGATTTGTTGCAGATGAATTTTCTAATTAAGAACAGGGACAAATTTCTCAAAAGCCCCTTTTAGGGCATTTATTCATTCCCGCATTCTTTTATTCCTCTACTAAATAATTAATGAGTGATTTCTTTGCTTCAGTCACTGTGATTGGTCCTGGGATACAGAAAAAGGCTGCGTCCCCATGCAACTTACATGCTAGTGGGGAAGAGAGACAATAAACAAAATAACAAGTATTCACTAAAGCATTTGATAGTGACAATTACTTAGAAGAGAAATAAAGCAGGGTAAAAGAGGAGTTATAAGCTAGGATAAAATTGAAGATATTTATTTGAATGAGTGTTCATAAAATACATCTGAGGAAAAAGCACTGAGATCAGTAAGGTTAAGTCATTACCAAGGTCAAATTCCAAGAAATTTTAAACCTGGGTAGAACTCAGACATCCCTACCACTAAAGAATGCACAAACCATTGTGCAATATTGTTCCCAAAAACAATACTTATAAAATATCACATCTAAATATTTAAATATCAAATATTTCAATATTAAAAATAAATGGTCATGTCAATATTTCTAGAATAATGGAATTTCCTAGAATAAGAAAAATAAGAATATTTCCAAATCACTGTCTTTCCCCTGCTATCCACAGATGGTTTATTTTTCAAAATATTAGGAAATATCATACTTGGAATGTGAATATTTATTAATATATTTTCTTGCATACTATTTTAATACTAAGCACTAACAAAAATGATGAATGTTAATACAATGACGCAGAACCAGTACAGTCTTATTTATGAGCACATAACTAGGATTTATATATTGTAATAGAATTTATTTCAGTAGTAATTTATAAGAAGCTGCACCAAATAACAATTACTAATGATCATTGACAACTTTAAGTATGCAATATGATTAGTGATGTTAAATAGAAAAGGCAAGTCCTACTGATAATTTCAATATCTGTCAAATGAGGACATACAGAGAGAAATACTAGGTTTAAACGGATGGAAGTACAAGTATTTTTTTCTTTAAAATTCTGAATCAAAGAAAGTAGAAGCATCTATATAATGCTTATACTTTATTAAGCAATATAAACTCAAAATGTGAAACAGTGGGTATAAGTGAATTTAAAAGTCTAGTGATTAAAATAATGACCTCTTAAGAGCTATGAAATTGTTATTAAATGATTTATTTTCCTACAATAAAATTAGAATAGAAACTTAGGATTTTAAAATATTAGAAAAATAGGAGTTTTCTAAAGAAAATATCAGTATTTCAATGTTAGAAAACAATAAATTAGATCTGATTTAAGGATGAATAAATAATGAAAATTTCCTTTATCCAATGCAACTTGGCATAAACGGAATTCACATTTCACGGAAGAAACTAAATCAGTTCAATCACCATTTCTTTTTCATATAAATAAATGTTGTACTTGTGACAAAATTTTAGGAGTTGGGATGTCTAAAATCAATTTAATGTTAATATTGTTCTGAAGCCCTAAAATATGGTGGTGTATACACACACACACACACACACAATGAAGAGGTGTAAATAATCTATATTCATTCAAATCACTGTGCAAGCTTTCCTCAATAAAATGCATGGCTGGGTCTCCAATAACTATGAGGAACAGGCAGTTCCAGTTGCAGCTCGTTCATAATTGACTGTTGTTATGCTCAGTTTCACCTGATGAAGAAGTCTATTAGAACAATTTTAAACTCTTTCCTGCATTTATTGGCTTTTTTTAAAATTGTGATTTCTTAGATCCTAACCACATATGGGCCAGAACACATTGCATAGATATGTAAATTCAAAGCTTTGATTGCTTTTTCAGAAAAGTATTATTGTAACAACATCACAATAAATTACAGAGGGTCACATGAATTAAGAGAATTTTTGTTATTAAATGGTAAAAAGCATATAGCTGTATGCCAAAGGATAAGGTTACAGAATTTAGATAAATCTGGCCCTCACTTTTCAACATTCTTGTGTGAGAGAGAAAGTCCGTCAAGAAAAACTCTTCTATTCTGATAAAGTCTTACTATTAAATCCTATGGTTGGTTTAAATTGATTTTATGTTGTTGTTGTTGTTGCTCAAAAAGTACCAAGTAATTTAATAATAGCACTGCCAAAATACATCACTGCTTTTGCTGACACTCTGAAACATCTTATGTAATCATTGTTAACTGTAAATTTTCACGTATACATTAACTTTTGTACAAAAAAATGTAATTACATCATCATATTAAAATTATTTTTAGCTATTCTACCTAAACATTTGCATCAAATGCCACTGAAGTTTTCACAATGTACTCTCCTCTATACTTTCTGAAGGAGTTGTCTGAAGTTTGAGTTGAGCATGTGTTCCAAAACTTGAGTAGATCTTACAAGACTTATGTAGAAAAACCTTGACTTTGCTTCAAAACACTTATGTTCTACTTTTGGGCAGAGAATACAATTAAAATTAACTTGTCTTTATACATAATATACAAAAAGATAATGCAAATATTGATTTAAAATAATTATAACATTGGTGTTATCTATTGCATTTGTTGGAAATAGCACACTCCCAAGACCCCAGTGGAATCAATATTCTTGCCAATGACAATTTCTTCTTCTCACCCTAAAGGCAGCCACTTTCCTGGCTTTATGAATATAATTGTTAGGCAGTTAGATGGGACTAACTATCTAAGGGGCACTGGGCACGGGGAGTAGAAAGGGGAGGGAATAACCTAGAAGAAAACAGTACACTTGTGCTCAGAATAAGGGCCTTGAAAAAGTTTTACTTTCTCTAATTGAGTGCCAGCGTAAAACCAGATAGAACCAAACAGCTGCTGGTTCTCATAGTGGGGAGAAGGACCCAACCCAGCATGACCCAGTGTTCATTATAATGTAATTAGCATTGCAGTTTTGACACCCACAGTGGGCTTTTCTGTATGCATTGTGGGAAAGGGCATATGCAATAAGGAAAAGGTAATATAACCTACACATGCCACTCAAATGATGCCAACTTTCAAATTAGCTTAAGACAGCCCCTAGATAACCTCACTAAAGAAACAGGGGTGGGGGGTTAGGGGGAGACTTCACTGCTTTTCCTCTCTTGGATCAGTTCATTTTTGGAAGGTGTACTTTTGCTTTGCTAGTAAAATCCTTAATTACACAACTCTTTTGTCTGCCATTTGAATTTTTCTCCTTCGGGCAAG